TAATAGACTGAGACAATGATAGATATTGGTTGTGAAATACAATGTGGGGATTGAACACATTATCCGTGGATTTTAAGTCCACTGCACTTCAACTGGAGGCTTTTGCAGATGTGTAGATTTGAGTGCAATCTTGTCTTTTCAGTCCGATAATTGATTCCATTAATAAAATTGACATGATTCTCGCAACAATATTCTTCACGTTTTCCCTAAACAGGAGACTTGTTATCCTAAATTCCACTATCTGCTGATGCCTTTCGAAGTAACCATCAGTAGGGAATGCTTGATTACCACCATTCGCTGCCTAGTTTAACAATTTGTCACGCAAACGAACGCAGAGAACAAAGATGGCGTTTGGCTGCCTGGAGTGACAAGTTTCAGTCGATAAATGTTCACCGTCCATATCCGGTAATTTCACGGGTGTTTTTGCTCATTAAACCAAGACTTTTAGCAGATGTAGATTGTTTGTCGGCTGAGAGAATTGCTCATTTACAACTGGTGTCAAAGGTCAGAGTTCGAGTCCAGATAAAAGCCTGGATTTTAAATGTTGATTTTCTAAGCAAATAAGCAGGACGGCCATACACAGAAATTTCTAAGCATGACATTTCATATTGATTGATTTGTGTTCTACAGCTTATAAACCATTTGCAGGTTATTTAAAACCAGAAAAATATTTTTAGGTTATAAGAGTTATGTTTTTTTTAGATAATAATGATTTAATAACACAATTTTTATTAACCTCCTCCCCACCACTCCTAGCTGGGTGGTGGGGAGGAGGAATCTTCTTTCATATCTTTCCCAAGGGGATTTGTGCATAAGTAAATATAAACGAACACAACTCGAATTAGAACTCGGCACACCTATTAACAATTTTGAGCCATTATACATTACACCACCCGCACAAGCTTACAGCACCTGGTATTCTCAAGTGGTCAGCCACTTAGGCACTGACCAGTTTCGATGTTGCTTAAATTCTGTGATTGTACGGGAACCTATGTTTCAACGTGATCTGGCCGTTACCCGGAAATTCAAAGGTAACAAAGAAAAGTAAGGGATGTGGAATGACAAAAAAAAATTAAATTAAATTCTTTATTTAAAAAAATGCTTAATAAATGCTTAAATATTTAATAAAAAAAACAACGACATTCAACCAACATTGACCACAACGACGATGGAAACAAGCAGTTAAATATGAACAAAGTTCGTTATATTTTCCTTGAGGCTCTTTGTTCTAGAATATATTTGCCCGGACTCATTTCTCGAGATTATTTCAGACTTTTAGCAAGAAGTGAAAAACTCGCTGAGTTATTGTGAATTTTTCGACAAAAATCGATCCCGATTAATCAATAGTTATTTTATTTTTTTTTTTTTACTAATGTTATGCTATTCCAAGTAGGCATTTCATTTACAACCGATGTCAAAGGTCAGATTTATTTCAGTATTGGTTCTACAGTCCAAGTACCATGGTATTTACGTATCTCCCCACGGTGATAAGATGCAACCCAAGGTCGGTTTCATGTGGGGCACTCGAGCGCGTACACCCTGGCAAGGGCTCCAAATTGCCCAAATCGTCGATTGCACTTGCATCGGTATTTCTACAGACCCCCCTCTTTAGTGCAATGAGGGGGTACTGCGTCGGGCAGCTGTTCCCCCAGGACCGGACACCTCTCAATATTTTTTCAGTTGCGTTCTGCCCGAGGACAGAAACGAAACTGAATGTCAAGGGTACGAGTAGGACAAGTACCACTGGAACTACCTGACCTAGTGAGCCTATACATAACGTCTACGCATGCACATATGGTAATTAGCTCGTAATTAGCTCGTCCAAAGTATACTTATACTGACAGAGAAAATACCTGCTGTTGAGATACGTAGAGATACGGGAAGATACGTTGAGATACGTTGAGACAGGTTGAGAGATACGGAGACAGATACCGGGTGTTCACAGAGAGTTATACAAGAGTACAGAAAGAGAGAGAGAGAGAGAGAGAGAGATGATTACGGCTTTACTTACAGAGACTTGTACATATACTTTCTACTAACCCGCATTCCTGGACTACTAATCTTCACTTCAAGTCTGTATTCTTATGTTTAATACATTTATTTTTCTATCTCAATTACTGGCGTTGTTTATTTATTTGTGCAGGATTCCATTCACGGAATCCACAACAATATATATATATATGTATGTGTGTGTGTACGTATGTGTGTGTGTGCGTATGTGTGTGTGGGGGGGGCACGTGGTTAGAATGTTCGCATTCTGAGCATGATACCTGGGTTCGAATTTCACCATGATCGATTTCTCAGAAAAGAGACTTCCTGATGTTATTGGACTAGAGGGGGGTCGGTTCCAGCATGCAGCACCTTTAGAAAGTACCTGAAAATCATACCTCAGGTTGACCCAAGCCTTGTGAGTAAAATTGGGTAGACGGGACCCTTGAGGGAAGTCAATAGCTGTGCTAGCATGAAGTTACAAGTCATCGTGACCGAGGGCTTGAGTGTGCTGGCCTTGTTCACATTGTTGATCACGTTAGATAACACGCTCATTCCCAGAAACTGGATTTAAAAATATTTCCATACAAGATTCAAATGGTCAAACTTTACTCGCCCAAGAAACTTATGCGTTTATAAATGTTATATTTGTTTTATATCATTCAGTCTTTTAGTGGCCAGCCTGTAGAAATTAAGTTTTATGTGTCCGCATATGCTAACTGTTGATCGACCTGCTTCAATAGGGATTATTTTACTTAAAAGATTCCCTATATTTGGACGACCAAATTCTGTTAATGAAATTTCGAAATAAAGTAAAATAGTTCAATACAATTTACATTTTAATCATAAAAATTTCATGAACACGGAAATGTGTCGAAACATGGTCAGTGGTTCCCTCATCGTCTGATTGCTTTTCAACTTGTTCTCTGATCATCATTGAAAAGTAAGGTTGCTACCAAATCCTTCCCAGCTAGAATATTCAGGAAAGGTTTGGTATTCTACCCAGGAATGGTCCGGTAATCTACCCAGGAACGTTTCGGTATTCTATCCAGGAATGGTTAAGTAATCTAATCAGGAAAGGTTCGGTATTCTATCAAGCAATGGTTCAGTATTCTACTCAGGAATGGTTCAGTATTCTATCCATGAATGGTTCGATATTCTACACAGGAAAGGTTCGGTATTCTATCCAGGAATGGTTCGGTATTCTACTCAGGAAAGGTTCGGTATCCTGTCCAGGAATGTTTCGGTATTCTATCAAGGAATGGTTCAGTATACTACTCAGGGGTGGTTCGGTATTCTATCCAAGAATGATTCGGTATTCTATCCAGGAATGGTTCGGTATTCTATCCAGGAGTGGTTTAGTATTCTACTCAGGAAAGATTCGGCATTCAATCATGGAATGGTTCGGTATTCTACTCAGGAAAGTTTCTGTATTCTATCCAAGAATGGTTCGGTATTCTATCCAGGAATGGTTCAGTATTCTATCCAGGAATGGTTCAGCATTCTACCCAGGAAAGGTTCGGTATTATATCCAGGAATGGTTCCGTATTCTATCCAAGAATCGTTCGGTATTCTGTCCAGGAACGGTTCAGTATTCTACTCAGGAAACGTTCGATATTCTATCCAGGAATGGTTCGGTATTCTATTCAGGAATGGTTCGTTATTCTGTCCAGAAATGGTTCGGTATTCTATCTAGGAATGGTTCAGTATTCTACTCAGGAAAGTTTCGGTATTCTATCCAGGAAAGGTTCAGTATTCTATCCAAGAAGGGTTCGGTATTCTACCCAGGAATCGTTCGGTATTCTATCCAGCAAGGGTTCGGTATTCTACACAGGAATGTTTGTGATGAAAGCGACATTGGTTAAAACCCAGTGAAAAAAGAGAATACATCAATAAAATCAGAACTACTAAATTATCCTCTGTTTTTGGTGAGATAGGAAGAGTGTCGACTATTACGAAGCGCTATAACCCAAAACGAACCAATTAATGTGCAGAAGTATTGTCGTCAATTGAAAACATTGCAAATATTTGCCGAAAAATCGCTCATCGTTTTCGAATAGTAAAGGCACGTCGATCTAACACGCTCATAAAAGGCCTGATATTATCCGAGTCACTCAAGAAAAGATTATGGTAGTAAATATTTTTGTCCTCATCCTCCATACTCACCTGACTTAGCTCCATCTGACTATCATCTTTTCATAACATTGCCATATTTTTTAGAAGGTAAAGAATTTATTAATTGTGAAATTGTTAAAATTGATACTGAGTGATTCTTTGCATCGAAACTTTACGGCTGGGTGATGAACAATTTGCTAAATAGGTAGGATTATGTTAATAATAACGAGGAGAGTTATTATTTTGATTAAATCTATCAATTAAAACCAAAGATGCATTTTTTCTTTCCCATCTTTAAATACGAATTAACTTTCTCTCCAACCTTATATACTGTGCAATGAAAATAATATCGTAAAAAAACTGTCTTTTTTTTTTACTCTGAGGGCAAATCAATCACTGAAAGATACGATAAATGGTTAAATAAGATATTAAAATGATTGGTAGAGTAGCTGTCAACGGTGCAGAAAGTGATATTGGCGAGTCGAGTTCAAATTCCAGCTGAGGCAGATAAATTCGTTTGAAACGTATGGATGGGTCTCTTCTCCTCCACACCATAGTTAGGGGTTAACAGTAAGGCAGACTGGGATATCTAGCTTTGATTAAAATCTTGGTTCGTTGGGCATTGGTGATATGCATGGAAACTAAATTAGTTACAGAAATTGAATTTATTGGGAATGTTTTGCGCGAGAATGGATATTGTGGAGTTCGGCATTATAAGAAAAATGCGACAATTTCGTAAGCCGAAGTCGACTGGTCTCCAGAAAGCTTCCATCTATTTACATTTACCGTGGATTGGTGAGGGGGGTGGGAGATTTGCTAAGCAGATTTCATTTAGCGTCAGCAGTTGTTATTTATCCGCCAATCCACCTATTGTTTTTGGCGCTTGACCTATGTTCAGACCGATCATATCAGTTCTGTAATTTACAAATTCAGATGCCAGTGCGATGCTAATTATGCAGGCAGCACAAGTCAAAACTTGGAGACACTGATCAACCAACACGTACAAGACAATATTCGAAAAGGAAAAGTGCACAATTTACACTGCGTTAGAGTATTAGCTTCATCGATAGCTGAAGATCTGATTAAAAATCAGCAGTGTGCCTGTTCTTATCGCCCGGACATATTCTCAGTGCTGAGTAGGGATAATACCGGTTATCATTTGAAAATTTTGGCATGTAGCAGTAAAAGATAGATCAAGTATCGACCATCATAAAGACTGAAAAATAAAATTGACAAAGATTATTGTTTAAGGTTGACGGACACGCATGTCTTAATTAGTTTTTTTTTTTTTTTTTTTGTTATTTTCTTTTTTTTTACGAATTGGTCAAACCCAAACTCAAACAAAAACATTGTTTTCAATTGTTATGAGTCTACCGATTGAATAGAATTTTATTATAAACAATTGTCTTGTAAATGGAATTTTTAAAACATTCTGAATGTAAAAATAAAGAAAAAAGTGTGCAAGACAATATGAAACACTACCTGCCAAAAAAAAGTGAAGTTTTGTTGAAATCGGTTGAAAAATGTAGGAAATCCGATCCCATATATAAATGAACACACACAAACAAACAACCTGGGTTTTATTATAAGTATAACTCGATATGAGTTGTCCCCCTTTCATTCTACCGATGCCTCTTAATCGTGTTTTCAAATTGATTTTGTGCAAAAACAATTGTGTTTTTCCAATTTTTGGCACTGTCAGAACCACCGCAAGGTAATTTTACGTAGTCCTGTGAAGTTTTGTTGAAATCGGTTGAAAAATGTAGGAAATCCGATCCAATATATAAACGAACAGACACACACGCACACACACAACATGAGTTTTATAATAAGTATGATTACTCGAATTTCTTAAAAATTATTGACCTTTATTAGTAATTTTTCATTAGAATTTCTTTCAGTCATAATATCATTTGCTTTTTATCGCAATCAGATCGTCTTTCAGTGTGAATCGAAGATACAGAATAAATCTTCAACCGATTTCGAAATTGCATAAAAAGAAACTGAGAGTCAGATGAAATAAATTCTTTTCAAAATGAAATTACAGCGAAGGTCATCATAATAATATAGCCAATAATCTTGCAATAATTCCATTACTTCCAATGGCAACATTTTACAGTAAAGTTTTTGTGTGTAAAAGAGTGTATATGTTGATTATTCAAATGTTCAGAGAAATGAACATGTGTCGGATATATAGAAATGTCATGCCTTTTATGGATCATTACTCATAATTTACAGGAGAACAAGGAGGTACACGCACATCGTTAACAGATCGTTAACACAGAGAAGTTGCTATAGAGTTCTCAGAGCGTCTTTTCATATAGTGGAGATTGGGGCGCTTGAGTATACGATCATATATTTTAATAAACTGACGACGACCTGCTGCAAAGTCTCGTATTTACTTGTTTTCAGCGTTTACAAACATCGAAGATTTTTGAATTGGATCAAACCAGCAGTGATTGGCTGGACATTCCTTTTTTATATACCTCATGAACATTTATTTGATATTATTTTTGGTGGCGTTTTCCTAGAGCCTAAAATTTTTATGCATATAGCATTGTTCTTCAAGCGAATTGAATTGAGTTCTCCGGGCCACTAACACATTTCGCACAGAAAACGTTAAAATTTCCTTTCTCTCTGCTGTGCGACGATACCCTAGAGGTAGAATCCCTGACTGATACCAAATCGATCCCAGCTTGAAGTAATCTGACGTCCAGTCACACTGAAGAGCTGCGATACAGTGAAACAGTCAGTCTATCTGTGGATGACAATATATATATATATATATATATATATATATATATATATATAGAGAGAGAGAGAGAGAGAGAGAGAGAGAATGTTGATTGGCTGTACTTCATCTAAGAAATTGTGATAAAAACAGAAATAAGATAAAAGAAATGCTAGTCAAAAATTAATAATCATTGACTATGCTTCATCTAAGAATAATATTTCAAGACGTTTTTTAGTTTGGAGATTGGGATTTTGAATGGATCTAATACGACTAGTGTTGTGAAAAGCAAAAAGAAATAAAATGAAAGAAATACTAGTCAAAAATGAATAATAATTGCCAAGCTTCCTCTAAGAAATTCAAACAATATTACAAGATATCATCTAGTTTGGACATTGGTATTTTGAATGGATATCATACTACTAGTATATTAAAAGGTATGAGAAATAAAATGAAAGAAATACTAGTCAAAAATGAATAATAATTGCCAATATTTCTTCTTCTTCTTCTTCTTCTTCTTCTTCTTCTTCTTCTTCTTCTTCTTCTATGTGCCGTGTCACTTCAGGACGTGGGCGATCATGTATCTCCATAAATTCTTGTTTTTTGTAGCCCTTAATAAGGTTGTCTTTATATTGTATCTCCTAATTCCTATTCTGCCAACAATTTACACAAGCTCGTTAGATAGAGTATGCGCTGCTTTCCTTAGACCCTCTTGCTTTTAATATGTCTTTTGAGTATCAAAGACCCATTTCCTCATTATGTGTTCTAGAACTTTCAACTGCCTATTTCTGATGTTAAGTATGAGTGTCATTTTTTCTCTTTTTCTTTAAACCTTCGTTGTTGCTCACATGTTCAGTTCATAGTATTCTCAGCATCCTTCTCTAGCACGACATTTTTGCTTTCCCAAGACTCTTCTCCATCTGCGACGAGATTACCCAGCACTCAATTCTATACAGAAGGACCGATATCACGTACCAGTTCAGAACTCTTTTTTTCATGCTACGTCAAAGAAATTTGAAAACGATTTTTCATTTCCATTTAAAAAAAAATTCAAACTTCTCCATAAAACACTTTATTGCCCCTGAAAATCCATTTCTTTCGCCAATGGAAAATACGGGACAAGATTATTCACCAAACAGTCATAGAAGTTATCAGAATTATCGAAATAGCATTTGCGTTTGTAAATGAAACATTTTCCTTTCTCCCTTGCCCGTGCAGTTTTACTTTATTCTGATTTATCTTCCGTTAATTTGGAACGCAAGCCAGTGGAACTAAAATTGGGTTTTAAAAAAAAGTCAGTTAAAGGATTAGCTTATTGCTAGTCACGCTGATTTGAGAAGACGAGATTTGAGAAGGTGCCATTAACGAGTCATCAACCACTTGGCTTGCTTCTCTTTTCAATGAAATGAAAGCTCCTTATTAAAAAAAGAGGAGTCCAGAATGAGAATTGGTAATAAGTAGGGAGAAAACTGGCGGGGACTTGGTCTTGGTAAACGATAATTAAATCTGTGTTTGTTCGTTCTTTCTTTCTTTCTTTCTTTCTTTCTTTCTTTCTTTCTCTGTCCATCGATCTATCTGTATAACACAATCTGTTAAAATCTAGCGAGCTAGCTGAGATTTTCTCTCTCTCTCTTTCTCTCTCTCTCTCCCTCTATCCATATATATATATATATATATATATATATATATATATATCAGATTCTCAAATATTACTCTTGCGTTTACATATATTCATACATATAGATACATGTATATGACTCAAGAAAATAGTTATATATATATATATAACTAAAGAAATAGTCATCTCTCTCTCTCTCTCTCTTCTCTCTCTCTCTATATATATATATATA